ATTAAAAAATATTATTAATTGGGAGTTAATACAGATACCATATCATTCCATATTTCAATCACATCAAGCAGTATTGTAAAATTGCTACCACAATCAGTTTCCAAACATTCTGTTCCTTCTTTTACCCCCAAGGAATTTTTATGGCTCAATAGACATCTGTTATTCTGGTCTTTTCATAGTGGAATTTCATCTGGGCAGAAAGGCTTAATATTCATGGTCACTAATATTTCTATAACTAAATTAAAGAAACATGAAACAGTCATTTTTTTCAGGTTTAAAATCAGAATGAGAAGAAGATGGCTTACCCTAGAGAGATATACTCATAAAGGCAGAAGCTTCAAGATGTATCGCCTGAGCTGTGGCTTGATCTTTTTCTCTCTCGTTAGCCATTGAGGCTCCCAGTGCCAAACAGACAGTATAAGGAGCTTTTACTAATATTCTTAAGATCAAGCACACAGGCATGTAGTTTGTTCAGGTGCATCTCTGAATTTTTGAGTGGAAGGTATAGATCAGGCCATCAGTCATTATCCAGCTAAGTCTAACAACTCAGGAGACAGAGGAGTCAATGTCTTTCATTCCCCAATGTCACAGACTGAAATCCAAATTTAGATTCATGAACTAGACAAATTAAAAATGTATAAAAGTCTTCTGAGATTCCAGTAAATATAGTCATCCCCTACTGAGATTTGTACTTTATGTGCTTCTTAGATCAGATTGAGAAAGTAAGCTTTCAGTTTACCCTTTCATGGAAGTGTAATGCACTTCTCACAATGCAGATTGAAGATGCAACAAAGGAGATTAGAACTAACAGAGAGCCGCCCCCATAGTCAATACCCTAAGTTCCAACTTCTAGCCTTTTGAACTGTGAAAAGATAAATTTGTTTGTTATAGCTATCCACTTATGGTATTTTGTTATAGCAGAACAGAATTTAAAAAGTGTAGATCCAATTTTCCTTATCCTTATGCATAAGAGGTTCCAGTTTGTTCATCTCTGATTTGGATCCAGAAATTAAGGGAGACTACCAAGGAATAATAAGTTAATGAGTTTAAAGAGACAACTGTCCACTTAAAATTTTGTAAACCACATGAATATCTTTCACTGATGAGGGATACTGAAGTCATTCATAAACAAATACAAATCAGAAAGTTTACATTGTAATACTACACTCTAAAATCATGCTTAAACAATGTACTTATGGAAGAATAGAAATAATCCTAAAGAATCGTTGAGTTGCAAGAAAACTTTTTAACAGATAAAATTAGTAAATCCAGGTAAAGCCCAAGCCAATGTTAATACACACTACTTAATATAATAATATTACTGCATATTTGGGGGAATTATAAAAAGATAAGTGGATATTTGCTAACAATATTGTTTGGGATGTGGAAGAAGGTCAATATAATTTCATGTTACAATCAATATTTTAGCTTATATCCTGTGATGATACTTGAAGCATTTATGATATTGTTAGAGCCAAACAAAGTAGTATTACGAGCAAAGAAAACATATAAATATAATAATGAATTATTAATAAAAGAATATGGTTGACTTAATTCTGTGGCTAGAGTTCCTAATGGGGAAGGAGGGATGACTAAAAGCGCTGACATAAAGAAGGACGAGGAAGAGAGGAAGGAAAAGGAAGGGAGGGAGAAGGAAGGGAAAAGTATTTTGGGTACAACTGAATAACACATAAAATATACTGATATTAGAAACATTCAATAGTGGGATAATTGTTAAGTGTGCAATAATTTACACATTTAATGGAATATAATATAACTTGAGGTTTATGTTATGGAACAGAAGTATACTTATTTGTGATAAGCAAAATGATGACTATAAAGTTGCAGATAAAGATGAATATAATTGTGTATTAGAATGCATACTTTCTGCCAGGAGTCAATTCCAACTCATAGCGACCCTACAAGAGGAAAACTGCTACCTAATATTTCAGAGACAATTAATGTTTATAGGAGCAGACATCTCATTTTTCTCTCATGGAGCGGCTGGTGGATTTGAAATGCTGGCAGAGCAGTCAGTAGTCCAGCAATTAACCCATTGCTCCACCAGTGCACCTATAATGTTTTTTACCAAAGGAAAAAATGATTGAAATCTTAGTAGTAATTTTCATCAAAATACAGAATGGTAATTTTTTGCAATGACGGAGGGAGCAGGGCACTAACCCCCCCGGGGGAAAGTACTTGGTCTTGTCTCGACAGAATCGGGAGTGGGCACGCAGACCCTATCACAAAGCACCCGACCACGAGGACAGCGTGGCCACGTGGAAGGATGCATGAAAAGAGAGAGCTACGGCGCTGGCCCCAACCAGAGCCAAACTGATGCCCTTCCTGGAAGTGGGTGTAGCAGAGAACGGCGCTGAACCTACAGGTTGGGGGGAGGGGCCAGCATGCCACACCCACCCACAGGCAGGCCTGGAGCAGGAAGAGAAAGAGAGCGGGACTGGACCCCACACTGGCACACCAGGCTTGGGGGATGACGTCCCTGCCGGGAGTTAATGGAACACAGAGGGGACTGGGCAACCAACAACAGCATGTGTCACACTGTCCCCTTACTGGAGCAGACTGCGACAGAGGACACTTCTGGGGTAACATGGTGGGGAGGCAGTGTGGTCTGAACCACCCCCAAACGGAGCAAACCAAGAAGGGAGCATACCAGATCAGCAGCTGGAGCAATACAGAGCTACAAAGTCCCCGAGGACCCCCAAGGGGCGCTCCAGGCTGGGAGGGGCAGCTCCTGGACAGGCTTGATGGCCAGGAAATAGACTTAGGATTTTTGTATATTTCTTCTCTTTTAAAATTTTTTTATTTTTATTTTTCTTATTTATCTATATTATTATGTTTTATCAGTTTGGGCTATGTCATAGTCGGTGTGCCTACCTATAGGATAGGCATGGGAGGCATGCCCGAGGAGAGGGTGGTCCCAGGGAGGTGAGGGCAGTGGAGGAAATGGGCGGTGAGCAGGCTGCACCATGGACGGGGAACAACTGGGGTGTTGGAGTGAATAACAAGGAGGAGATAGGGATCCAAGGCTGGGTGGGTGGGATGTTGGAGCAACAGCAAACTAGCTAAGAGGAGGTATCAAGAGGCAGAAATAGGGGGAAAGTGACAGTGGGGCAGGAGGAAGGTAAAAGGAAACAGAGGAAGGACTTAGGAAGCAAAGCAAAGCAAAGTAGAGGTGTAAACATGGCGGCATACATATGCAAATACATTAAGCCACATGTACATATATTTTGGTCTATGTACATATATTTATTTGGCAATACCCTGAGGTAGGGGGTGGACTTTGAGTCTCTGCTCATACCCTCCCTCAATACAAGAACACTTTGTTCTAGTAAATCGGCAGTCTGAGATGTTCACCCTCCTGACACAATCACTGAAGACAAAACGGGTGCATAAGCAAATATGGTGAAGAAGGCAGATGGCGCCCAGCTATTAAAAGATATAGCATCTGGGGTCTTAAAGGCTTGAAATTACACAAGCTGCTATTTAGCAGTAAAGCAACAAGTCCACCTGGAAGAAGCACACCACTGGTGTGATCATGAGGAGTCAATAAGGACCGGGTAATAGGCATCAGCAGACACATAACAAACAAAAACATATTGTTGATAACAAAGGGGGTTGGAGCAGAGACCCAAAGCCCATCTGTAAACAATGGAACAATCTCCCCAGAAAGGGGACACAGGAAGGGATGAGTCACCAGGGTGAAGTAAAGCATCAATGAAACACACTATATTCCTCTGGTTCCTGGAGGCTTCCTCACCCCTGACTAACATGACCCCAGTGCTGCTTCTCAATTCAGACTAGACTGGAACATGTACACAGGTATACATGAGAGATGGGAGCTCACGACACACAGGATCTAGGAACAGGAGTGGAAATAGTGACACCAGAAGGGTCCAGGGAAGAGGGGGAGAGGAAGGGAGAAAGGGGGAGCTGATTGCAATGATGGACACATAACCGTACACCCCTCTCCAGGGGGAAGAACAACAGAAAACATGGGGGAAGGGAGACAGCAGCCAGTGTGAGAGACGAAAATGACAACAATTGACAATCTATCAGGGGGTTATGAGGGTGAGAAGGGGAGGGAGGGGGGTAAAAAAGAGGAGCTGATGCCAAGGGCTCAATAGAAAGTAAATGTCTAGAAAAGAATGATGGCAACATATGTACAGACATGCCTGATTCTTACGGATTGTGATAAGAGTTGTACTAGCCCCCAATAAAATGATTTAAAAAAACAAAACAATTTTCTAAGTTAAAAAGGTTTTAGAGACAAGGCACATATGCTGGTATTTAGCATGGTACAAAGCCAATAATGATTGTGAATTTAAAATAGTGATAAAGAAAGCACAATGGAATGTGCAATGTGTTATAATTGATTGTATATTTTCACTACTACAGTGATACATGTGAAGAAAACCCAAAGAACAGCTAACTGGCTTCACATATCCTCATAATGCAAAAATGTGTGCAAATGAGAAGATGAATAAATAAGAAAGGAGTCCTCAAAATGTGTATCTTTAGTGAATCACATTCGGATTTTAGCATTTGATAAACACATCTTTAAAATTACAGCCACAGAAAATGAATTTGGATTGAAAAATGATCTGCCCCATTGTTCTTTGCCTACACAAATTAAATATGACCAAAGAGAATAAGTAGCTGTTAGCTCCCCAATGAATATTTCAATGAAAATACGGTGTTACCAGAACTTTTGTATATCTGGCATTCAAAAACAAACAAAAACAACTGATATATATGACAATAGTAAAGAAAAAATTTTCCTAATGGCTGCAATAATGGGTCAAGCATAGGACCAATTGTGAGGATGGCACAAGACCTGCTGTGCTTCATCTTTTGTGCCTAGGGTCACTGTGACTTGTTACTGACTTGGTGACACAGACAAAGACAACAACAATGTCTGTTTTTGAAATATTTTGGTGCAATTCTGTCACTTTTCCCATTCATCTTTTGCTTGTCCTCTGCTATCTGAGATGTAAACCTGTTTGCAATACCCTTTTCAGAGCTGTTTTTACTTCCTTGTTCTTCAGACTGTAGACAAGGGGATTGACCAGAGGAGTGACCACACTGTACTGCACAGAGAAGATGAGCTCCAGAGATGAGCCTGAGGAAGGCATGAAATAGCGAAGTGAAGTAGTTCCATAGAAGAAGCACAGTACAATGAGGTGGGAGGAGCAGGTGGAGAAGGCCTTGCTTCTACCTGTTGTGGAACTGATGCTCAGGATGGTGGAAATAATGTGGGCATAGGAGAAGACTATCAAGATTAGGGTCCCAAGCGAATGCAAGATGGCAGAGCAGATCAGGACTGTAAAATTGGTGGTGACCTCAGAGCAGGCCAGAGGGAAGAGGGAGGGTAGCTCACAGCTAAAGTGAGACATGACATGAACCTCACAGAAGTCCAAATTGGAAGCAAGGAGGGTATTGATGAGAGCGTCCAGAGAGCCTAGTCCCCAGGAGGTCCACACGAGACCCCCACACACCTGTTTACTCATGATTTGTGCATAGAGCAGAGGGTGGCATATGGCAGTATAGCGGTCATAGGCCATCACTGCAAGCAAGCAGGCTTCAGTCCCTAAGGTAACAAACAGAAGGAAGACCTGAGCCAGACATCCCTCTACTGAGACTGATTTTCTCTGAGAGAGGAGGTTGTGCAACATCTTGGGCACAGTGACTGAGGATAAACAAAGGTCTATGAAAGAGAGATGACTTAGGAAGAAGTACATGGGTGAGTGGAGATGCGAATCCACTCTGATCAGCACCAGCATCATCAGGTTTCCCATGATCGTCATGAAGTAAATCCCCAGAAAGAGACTAAAAAGTAGAACTCGGGTCTGGGGGTCAGTAGACAGTCCAAGGAGGATGAACTCGGTGATGGTGCTGTGGTTTCCTGAGGTCATTCTAGATGTTCCGCTGGAATAGTTCCTGAAAGAAAGATGAAGTGTTCACCTAACCTCATGACAACTCAATGTTTTCACATAATCCTATGTTTACATATCTGCCTGTCAGCTGTTTGTCTTGTCCATGGTTTATTTACTCTTCTTCCTCATAATAACCTTCCCTTCCTAGTTTGCTTTCTACACAACACCAGAACCATATGATTCTTTCCTTTTGTGACTACTCTACCACAGAAGACTCTGGTGACAATAATACAATTCTTCAGATGAGTCTATGATTAACCGTTTCCAAATTCTTGAACCGGCCTTTGTTGCCATCCTGCAACTATTTTGGTCAACTTCGTCTATATACTTCCTGGAAAGGCATTTCTAATCATTTCTGTTTTCCTCAGATATACAATCTTTTACCGCTCCTCAAAACTTGCTGTAGTTTAAGATTACTTAATGATAATATGAATATCTATTACAGTCAAGCCCTTTATGTGTCTCTAATATACTCAGTTATTGGAAACGTATGTATGTGCTGTGTGACGGAGAGTGCATATAAGGGTTTCTAATCTACATTTTAATATTAAAAACCAAACAAACGAGGCTCAAAATTAATAATATCTGTTCAGTTTTCTAACTTGAACAACATACATATATGAATCTAAGGTAAGAAGGTAGTCTACTATTCCATAGTGTGACTCTTTCTTACTGAATGAAGATGAATAACTCTGATTGGCATTTTATGTTTAAGCAATTTTAGCAATTTAAACTCTCCATCTGCAGAGTTTCTGATTTACTTGTGTCTGACTGGTATTCGTAATTTAGGAAGTTCCTAATCTGTTTTCAGGCTGGAGAATCAGTACTGTAGATGAACCACTAGTCAGGTTAGATTTGCCTCTGATGCCCTCAGTACTTTCCTATTACTCTGCTTTGACATCAGTTGATCCTGCGCTGAAATGACCTGTCTCTCAAATCCTGACCCAGATCTTCCTTATTTTCACCCTCATCACTATTTCTCTGCCCTCCAATATATCTACCTTGATTTGTTCCTTACATAAAATAAGGACACATCGGGCTGCTAACCTCAAGGTCAGCAGTTTGAAACGACCGTCCACTCTGTGGGGAAAAGATGAAACTTTATGCTCTTCATAAAGAAATATAGTCTCAGAAGCCCACAAGGGACAATTCTACTCTGCTGTATATGATTATTATGAGTTGGAACCTACTTAGTGGCATTGAGAATGGTTTTGATTTTTTTTGTCATTTTTTGATGCCAATGTTCTAAATATTAATAAACATTCAGCTTTTTATCCCTTTCAGGATTACAGTGAAAGGCAGTATTATAATAGAAGTTAGAAGGAGAAAGTTTAAGCTAAAAATGCAATAGTAATCATTAGCAACCCGTTGTAGTGGTTTTATTTTTTCTCCTATTAAGTTGCTTATTCTCTAGGGTGTGGTGGTGGTAGTTAACAATTCAGACCCAATCGTCTATGTCACTTTCACGTCCTTAGCAGATATCACAATGAGAGATGCATTTATGGGTCTTAATATTTGCTACATGTAGAAAGACTACAGAGATAAAACGGTAAGCACATATGTACTTGTCTTCTTGAGTAATATTTAAAGTTTGAATCCAGAAGTAAAACTTGGAGCACATTTGAAGGTAGTAGGGAGGGAAAAGAGAGAGATATGGGCTCAGGTCTCATTTTGTAGTAGCTGTGAAGGATTGGCAGAAGATGTCTCTTTTGCTGTAATACTCAGAACCTAAAGATTGTTTTTCTTCAGGAAGCATCTCACACCTGCTAGCTAATTTCTGTCCATAGCTGGAGGGTTACTTAAAGTCAAAGCACTTTATCATCTATTCATTTATAATTCATTGATCCATTAATTTTGCTGTCTTTCAGTTATCTACTCCTTTATTTAACCCACTTGTCAATTCAGTCCTCTAAGTATCTCTTTTTTCCCATTCA